GTAAGAGGGTTAGGGCAGGGCACAGAAAGAGTGATGATGGAGGTCAAGCAGGCCAAGTTCCAGGAGGTCAGTCCTAGAGGACAGAATGAGGGACTGAGAGCAGAGTGGAGGAGGAAGAGGGGAGAGCTAAGTAGAGACCACACCAGAGCAGTGGTCCTCAGTTAGGGTGACACATTAGCCTGGGTGGGATTCCCTAACAACATTACCCAGGATTCTGAAAGTACACAGCACTGTTCTCCCTCCTCCCAGCACTGAGGGAAATTTAGGACTTCTTCATCTTGGCCATGTGAACTCTGCTACTTGTTCATGGATGTGTGTTCCCTCTCAGAGATAAGAGCATTTCATGGAGAGAAGATATGCTATGAGGGTGGGACAGAGGGCCTACAAGAGAGCATGGGTGAATGGTTTTATGTCAGAGCCAAGTTCATGTGTCTGCTGCCTCATCCACCTGCCCAGACGAGTGCTTCTGGAGGCATTGGCCATGGTATATCCCACCTTGCACCAACAGTGGGCTTTGCATGATGAAGTTGGAGGGACTAAGGTGTGAAACCACAGGAAGATGTGTTCCAGAATAAGATGGAAAGGGAAGGGTGGCCTAGACATGTCCATTCATTCTTTTGTTTCAAAAAAATCACCAAGTGCCTTCTGTGTCTAAGTGCCTGGAGTTCAGTGAACAGCCACACACTTTGCCCACTGTCATGAACCCCACAGTCCAGGGCCAATGGTTTCTGTCACATTTTGAGGCTGTGTGGGGGCTGCACAGATAATGTGCTACAGAGTCTGCTTGAGAAGAGAGGGAAGAGAAGTTGAGCCAGACTGGATGTCAATTCTGACCTTGGTCATCTACACAGGAAAGAATCACAAAGCAGACAGAGAGGGAGAGACTAAAGCAGGTGAGTTTAGTCAGTCACATGGGCACACCTGGGCTAAAGAGGGTCCACCCAGCACAGACCCAGTAGGAAATCCTGCATACAAAGGCATCCTCTCCTGGCTCTTGGTCACAACAGGGACCAGGTGGAGAGTGTGGATGACTCAGGCCACCCATCCCCACTACATCTGGGAGTGGACCAGGAGTGTCAGCTTCCCTGTGATGGAGGAAACAGTGATTACAGGGGAGCTGAGTCCCCCCAGCTAGTGGGACTGTCATGGGAAGCAGAGGAGGGAAGTTGCCTTTGCTGGTGCAGAGCAGAGAGGAGGGGAGAGAGGAGGGGTTGGACCCACAGGTCCCAGGGCCCAGTGGCTCCTGTGGCCTCTCCATTTCTCCCCACCACAAAATAAGCTCCTCTTTCAGCCTTATTCTCTTCTTATTTTTGTCACTCCCTTTTACTCTGTCTTAGACCTAAGCCTTGGGTCTGCCAAGGACTCTATGAAATGCTTATTCTAGAACTTCTGTCTGGCCTTCCAGCCCCTGGACAGAACACAGAGAAGAAAAGCCTGAATGGGGACAGCACGTGATGTTGACTTTTTCACTTAACCTTTGAGCCTTTGATGACATGCAAGGAATTTTGCATACATTCTCACAGAGTCTGAGGAATGTCCAGAGCGTATCTGGGGACCACTGCCACTAATTTCCAGCACAGTGTCCGCGTGCAGGGGGATGGGACCTACATGGGCTTTGGAGTCTCACAGGCTTGGTTCTGAGTCCTTTTCAAACTTTTTTGCTTGTTTCCAGCTGGTTTGGGCAAATAATTTAAACTCAGCTTCCTCATCTATGAAAAGGGGGAGAAAAACACCCTGTAGGGCAGTTGTGAGGGTCAAACCCCAGGGCACCTGTGCAGCACTTGGGATGACATCTGGCCCACAGTTGAAATCAGGACATGGTGGTTCTCTCCTTCCACCTCTCTCTGACCATGCCGCCCCTGCTCAGAGAGCCTCAGCTCCCCTGCAGCCTGGTGTCACAGACCACCTACAGTGCTGGGCACAGCCTTTCCACCCTCCACCCACTGCTCCTCTGCACAAGCTTCCCACGTCAACCCAAACCAGCGCTCCTTCCAGGTATGCCTTCAGCACCGTCAGATCAAGTCTCAGCTGCCTGCTCCCCACCCTTCTCTTCACTCCTCAATGCCCCAGGAAAGTCCTGCCCCCTCTGAAGCCAGGTACCTGTCTCCTCTCTCCATGCCGAGTTGAGAGGGGCTAATGGTGAGCACTAGGGACACAGCAGAGTGCAGCACCCAGGGCAGGTGGCTGATGGGGTGGAAAGAGGTGGGCAGAGTACACGGAAGGACAGCGTGGGAGGAGGAATGTGGCTGCACACCAGGTTGTGTGGGTGACTGGAGATCTGGCGAGAGGCCCACAGAGACTGCCTCCTCCAGCACTGGCTGTCCTGGCCAAGGTCTGACCATGCTGGGAGGAATGGGAGAAGAAAACAAGGCAAACGCCGACACCTGTTTGTGCTAGAAAGGAACACCTTGTAGGCCCCACTGTTCCTACCTGTCTCCCCATCCACAAGGCTTCTTCCCTGTCTCTTCTCTTGGGTACTCCCCTCCCTACTCCCATGCCCCACCCTTCTCTGCCTGGAGACACCCAATGGGGCCTGACACCCATATGTGGCCAGGAGGGACACAGTGCAGCTGACTAGAAGGAGCAATGTCATTTTCAACAGCACCCAGTGTGCAGTGTAGGGAACAGAGGAGACTGGGCTGGCTCAGCTGGACAGAGACTGTGGACAGAGCCTAGGGCTGAGGGGTGAGCTTCCCCACAGTGAAGGATGCAGATTGGATACAGCGACTCCATTGCTGAATGTCTGCGCCCCTTGTTCCATTTAATCTTTCTGACACTTTTCCTTTTGATATTCACAAAACCCTGAAAGGCAGGAATGATCTAAAATATTTTCATTTGACGGATTAGGACATTGACAGTTAGAAAAGTTTGGTGAGTTGCCCATAGCTGAGACTCCTTTTTTCAAAAATTATTTCATTGTTATTCAAGTACAGTTGTCTGCATTTTCCCCTCACCACTCCCCCCGCCCCAGCCAATCCCACTTCTCTCCCTTGCTTCCACCCTCCCCCTTGGTTTTGTCCATGTGTCCTTTATAGTTGTGCCTGAAAACCCTTCCTTGAATTGTACCCTCCCTCCTCCCCTCTAGTTACTGTTAGATTGTTCTTAATTTCAATGTCTCTGGCTATATTTTGTTTGCTTTTTTCTTTTGTTGATTATGCTCCAGTTAAAGGTGAGATCATATGGTATTTGTCCCTCGCTGCCTGGCTTATTTCACTTAGCATAATGCTCTCCAGTTCCATCCATGCTGTCACAAAGGGCAGGAGCTCCTTTTTTCTTTCTGCTGCATAGAATTCCATTGTGTAAATGTACCATAGTTTTGTGATCCACTCATTTACTGATGGGCACTTAGGTTGCTTCCAGCACTTGGCTATTGTAGAAAATGCTGCTATGAACATCCATAGCTGAGACCTGAGCCAGGTCATTTGATTATAAAGCCAGTGCCCCCCACCCCAAGTCAATCCTCTTTAGAGGAGGCTGTCCTATCACCCCTCTGGTGTAGTCCCCTTGGGGCTTCCCTCCCACTCCCATTTCCCGGTACTAGCCGAAAATCAGGGACTAGACTAGATGGAAGCCGCTAGCTGCATGTGTCTCTTTACAGTCTAATTAATGTAAATTAGGTAAAATTAAAAGTTCAGTTCCTTTGGTTGGTTATACTAAGTCCATTCCAAGTGCTCAGTAGCCACAGGAGGCTAGTGGCTTCTAGCCAGACAGAGCATTTCCATCATCGCAGAAGGTCCTATGGACAGCGTGGGACTGTAGGGAGAGTCAGGCAGGAGACCGAGGATGGGAGACCAGGAGGGCTCCAGGGAGCCTTGTAAGGAGACTGGGGAGTATGGAACCAGGGTCTGGGTGAGGGCAGCAGGGAGAGGTCCGGTGGGCGTGGGGGAGCAGCAGAGAGCTGCTGCACCTGAATCTCAGGTACCTCCCTTCGATACTGATACTCTTGCAATACCAGTGAGCAATTAAGTAGCTGGGGTGTGGCCAAGGCCAAAGCAGGAGGGAGGGGATGCTGTGGGGGAGGAACCACCCCTTTCAGCAGATCCCTGGAGGTACGTCAGTCCTGCCTTTCTACTCTAGATTCACAGGCCTCTGTCAGCTGTCCATCACCCTCTGAAGACTCAAGCTGGCAGCTTCCTGTTTGCTCACCCAGGCCCAGGAGCCAGCTAATGGGAGTCAGCACCACCACCTTCCCAATTAGCCTTATTAGGCTCTGGCTCACCCACTGGCAGTCATGGTCACCAGCTGTGGGGGAGGGGCTGTGAGTGGTTTGTGAGTGATTGAGGCCCAGCTATGACAGGGGTACCCAGCCTCAGCCTCTCCCCAGGATGAGGCCCTGATACCCAACATCCCTCATGCTGTCCCTGGAGGCCCCAGAAGGAAGAGGTCAAGGAGATGGGGTTTGGAAGGCAGATTCCTAGTTTCTAAGAGGGAAAGGCTCACTCACTGATGGAACACTTGATAAGTGTGTGGCAGGCAGATTCCCTGGGCAGTAAGGACAGGTAGCACAGGGGTGGGGTTCAGACCCTTACACTTGGAGGAGAGTAGTGGATTCCCAGGGGCTGTGGATGGGAACCTGGTTAACCAGGCAGTTGTGGAGGGTGGAGTGGGTGCAGAACAGAGACCCAGTGAGGAGGGGAAGTTGAAATACTGGTCTGGAGGATGTGGAGTTGGATAGGCCAACATAGGGAAGGCAGGCAGCAGACTGAGGGAGCCAGGTGACTGGACCCGTGTTGAGAGCAGCCTCCCCAGAGTGGGCAGCCACTGTCGGGGCAGAGCGCCAGGTTCTGGGTTAGGCAATGAGGATCCAAGGCAGACCTATCAAGGCCGTGGCCACCAGTACCTCACACTGCAGCCACTTCTGCTGCTGAGTAGGCAGATACCCCAACTGATTACTTCAGCTCCTCCTGCCACACCAACTTCCCCTGGGCACTGCCCTCCTGTCTCCTCCCCTCCTCACAGTGACTCCTGCCCAGAGAATGTCCAGCCTTCCCATAAAGGCCCAGGTGTCCACCAGCTGCTGGCAGTCTGAAGGCCATGAAGTCCAGGATGGGCTCCTCGCAGGCACCCTGGACAGGGTGTGTGGGAGGGCAAGGGGTGATGGCCCTGCTGCTGGTTGGCCTCCTCCTGCCAGGTAGGAAGCAGGGAGGGTGGCCTGGGATTGAGGATGGATGGGAAGGAGGGTGTGGACCCCAGGTGAGGGAAGGCTGGGGGGATTGCGCTGGGGAAGACCTGGGGCACACCATACCTAGGGGGAGGGTGTGCTGCACGGTCTGACACTGGGACCTGGGGGCTGCTTCTAACTGCCCTGCCACCCAGGAAAGTGACTTAAAGTCTCTGAGCTTCAGTTTCTGAAACTCTACGATGCAGTTAATGATAACACCTAGCTTCAGTCTCTCTGTGAGTCTCAAATAAGGTATGTGACAGTGCTTTGGAAATTCTAGAGGGTTATATAAAAATTTTGTTGCTGAGTTCTAGAAGGTGAAGACTGGATATTGAATAGTCATAATAACTACCATTTGTAGGTATGAGCCCTTTTATTTGCCAGATACTGTTTTCTAGCACTTTCAACCTTTAGAGGAACCAAATGAGATTTGTTATTCCCAGTTTGCATGTGAAGACACTGAGGCTTGAGCACAAATACTAAGTAAAGCCATATGCAAACCCCAGGCAGGGGTGTTAGCTGGACACTTGTGGTGACCTTGTATGGCTCCTGGATGGGAACAGGCTACATAGCATTGTGGGGAGCAGAGGAGGACAGCCAACTATGGCCACTGGAAGAGCTGGGGTTTGGTGTGGAGGGGTGTGGAGAACTTCTTATTGAAGAGGGAATAAAGTCATCACAGATTGTGAGACCTGGCTGTTGGTAGCAGGCTTGAATATCAATGGCAGTAACACATCACAATGTGTCATGCTTTATGTTTTCAAGCCCCTTCCACATCTGTGGTCACATTTGGTGCTCACAGTGACGTCATGAGGGAGGGCAGACCTGGCTTCTCCAAATGTACAAACAGAACCTCAGTGAGGGCTGGTGATTTGCAGTGTGTGGCTCTGTGCATACCACTTGGGACTAGAAGGGGTTGAGGGGCAGTGGAGGAGGGTGGAAGTAGGTGCATCAGAAAGAGTTGGTTCTGCATCAGGAGGGAGCCAAGACAGGAGCAGCCTGAGTGGAGGTAGTTGCTCCTGTGATGGCTGGGTAGTGGGGGGTGGGGGCTGGTGGATGGGGAGCAGGTCTGGGAGAGAGAAGCTGATGCCAGTCAGGATTCTCCCAGGAGGTTCCATCCAGTGTCCCTGTGCTGGACCAGGAGAGCAGGGTTGCTCAGGGTGAGGTGTTCCATTGGGCTGTACCAACAGGTTCTGAACAGTGGGTGCCCCCACATCCTGACCCCCATGCAGCTTTTCTGCAGGGTAGCACTGGCTTGGAGCAGAATTTCCATCCTTCATCTAAGCCTGGCCTCTCACAAAGAAGCTGCTGACCATAGTCCTAAGTGCCCTGCCCTCTACTTAAGCCCCTCGACGACTGGCCTTCCCTTTTCTCAGTGTCTCTTTTGCTGTTTGTTCTTCCTCTCTTGGCCCTCTATTGTTTTGCCTGTGTCTTCCTGGCCCATCTGGTCCCAGCATCTTGCATGGGGTTCCTTCCTGGGGATCTATGCCCACCTTGGGTCTCAGTCTCCCCACCCTGCTGTCTCTGGGGCTGGTCCTGTAGGCTATTAGTCTTACTGTACCCTCCCTTTGTGCTTCCCCCTTTGCAGTCTCCTTTTCTTTTCTGTCAGCTATTTGGAATAGCTGCCCCCTCCTAGAATAATGGAAATGTCCTTATTCTATCTCCTCACTTTCATTTAGAGACAACAGCCTCTCCCTCCCTTTTCTGGGGCAGAAAAAGAGAAATCTAAGGACAAATCAAAGTGGCAGGTGACAGAGATGGGTTTGAAATGTGAGGGAGAAAGCCAAGTCTCCCAGGCCCTTACTAACCATGACTTTCCTCACCAGGGACCTTGGCTAAGAGCATCGGGACCTTCTCAGACCCCTGTAAGGACCCCATGCGTATCACCTCCCCCAATGACCCCTGTCTTGTTGGGAAGGGTGGCTCCAGCAACTTTGTTTCCAGTTCTGGTGGCTCCAGTGGCTCCAGTGGCTCCAGTGGCTCCAGTGGTGGTTTCAGTGGTAGCTCCAGCGGCTCCAGCAGTGGCTCCAGTGGTGGCTCCAGTGGTTCCAGTGTCTCCAGTGGCTCAAGTGGCTTCAGCAGTGACTCCAGCAGTGGCTCCAGTGGATCCAGTGTTGCCCAGAGTGGTCCTTCAGGATCTGCGTTATTTAAGCCAGGGACAGGGTATTCCCAGGGCAGCTATGCCTCTGGATCTGGCTCTAGTCTACACAGTGCCTCCAGCTCCTTCCAGTCAGGCAGCAGCTTCCAGTCGGGGACTGGACCAGCTCTACCAACCAATGGTGGTACTTCTCACTTCGTGATAAACTCTTCCCAGTCTAGAGGAGGCTCAGGCTCCTCTGTTTCTCAAACTTCCTGGATATCCAACAGTGGTGGCCAAAGGGTCAACTCTAATTTACGCCCATGTAGTTCAGATGTCCCCGACTCTCCCTGCAGTGGGGGGCCTATCGTCTCACACACCAACTCCTACATCTCCAGCTCTCACTCTGTGTCAGGGGGTCAAAGGCCGGTGGTGGTGGTGGTGGAGCAGCATGGCTCTGGTGGCCCTGGAGTGGTTCAGGGTGTCCCCTGTAGCAATGGTGGCCTTTCAGGCAAGCCCTGTCCCCCCATCACCTCTGTAGGTGATTCCTATGGCAGCTATGAAGTGGTGGGTGGCTCCTCTAATAGTTATCTGGCCCCAGGCATGACTTACAGTGGGGGCAAAATCTACCCGGTGGGATACTTCACCAAAGATAACCCTGTCAGAGGCTCCCCAGGAGTGCCCTCCTTTGCAGCTGGGTCCCCCATCTCTGAGGGCAAATACTTCTCTAGCAACCCCATCATCCCCAGTCATAGCTCCTCCAGTGCCAACATTGCTTCCTCAGCCATCGTGTTCCAGCCAGTGGGCTCGGGTGGGGTCCAGCCCTGTGCAGTTGGTTCCTCAGGCTCAAGGGGGCCCTGTTCCCTCTCCAGTTCTGTAGTCCACAGCAGCCCCAGCGTCTCTGGCAGTTCTGGGTCACGTTCCCATCCCTGTGGCAGTGTTTCCCAGGGATCCTGTTCCCCACCTGGCACAGGCTCGCTCAGCCACAGCTCCACCTCCCAATCCAGCAGCAAAATCATTCTTCAGCCCTGTGGCAGCAAGTCCAGCTCTGCTGGTCACCCTTGCATTTCTGTCTCCTCCTCGGCATTGAGTGGGGGTCAAAATAGCTCTCCCCAATCTGATCCCTCAGTTGTTACCCAGCCCTGCGGCAGCTCTGGGAAGATGCCTTGCCGTTCCATCCGGGACATCCTGGCCCGGGTGAATCCCCTGGGACCCCAGCTAGCTGACCCTAAAGTCTTCCTGCCCCAAGGACAGTTACCTGGCAGTTCGTAAGTCACTTTTGCAGCATGCATGTGTGGCACACACACACGCACATACCCAGGGAGATGCTCCCCAGAGAGCTGCTCTGCTTCCTCTACTGCCCAGTGTGGCACATTCCCCCTTATCTCATCTTCTTTCTTCACCTCCCCAGACTGTGGGTGCCAAATCCCTTCCCTTGTCCTCTCCAACTGTGTAGAATCACAGCTTCCTTCAACACCCTCCCTGTCCCATATCCACTCCCTAAAATTTTCTGACATTTTTTTGACATGTGACAGTTCATTGGCTAATCCTGCCCATTCAGATTGTTGACTGGGAAACCCTGAAATGTCCCAGAGTAAATCCAATGCCCGAGCAAGTCATCTTCTCTCCCTTTGATGGATAAAGCACCATCCAAACCATCTGAAAATAATTACTGCTTTTCACTGCCCTCTCTTTGCCATCTGGTCAACCAATGAGATCTGCTCTGGGTTCTCACCCCCACCCCCATTCCACTCCTGACCTCCATTTTCAAGCTCCCCACACCCTCTGTGAATTCCAACACTCCCCCTTGCCTCTCAAGGTCTCCATCCCTGGGAGTCTCAATCCCTGTCCTGGCTACCACTTCCCTCATTTTCAGATGTTGTTTGGTGTCAGGGAGGTGCTAAGGGTCTATGAGGAGACTCAAGCAGATGCCTTGCTCTCTAGGTCCTGGACAGATGTCTCAATAAACTGTGTGAACTAGAAGTTGACTTTTTGCTTTCTTGGAGTCCTGGGTTCTCTTAGGACCTGGGTGGTGCTCTCCTATGCCTCTAGACGTCCCATGTGCCCCATTTTCATTCATAAGTTGTCCCACTATTTCTCTTATACCTCTTATAGGTCCTTTCACAAAGAAGGACAATAATGAATATTTGTTGTACTGAAAGCAGAGGTTGCCTGGTCTCCCAGATCCTCTTCCCACATCTCTCTTCTGTCATTGCTCCAGGAAGTCCATTCTCTCCTCATTCCCCACTCACCTGGTTCCTCCCATTCCCCTTCCCACCCAAGCTCCTTCTCCTCTGCCATTAGTTTACCTTCCCTTCTAGATACCATCCCCTCTAGGAGCCCCAACCAAGGATTTCCTGGGTTTCTGGGACAGCTGCAACCTTGGGAAGGTTAGGACATAAAGACAGACCAGATTCCTGGTGACTAAGTAGGAGACTAAGCAGGTGTTGTTCTGGGAGTTGGGGGTGAGGGAATAAAATACAGCAAGGATGACAGCATGACAGGTGCAGCCAAGCATGGTGACTCACTGGCCTGCAGGACAGTGTCCCAGCCAGTGGGAAAGCACAGCCAACAGTGTCCCTCACCTCTACATTCTTGCTGCCTCTGCTGTGTGGTTCTAGAGTGAGAGCTGTGGGAGGGGAGAGAACAGAGCACTGTAGTGGAGGAGGGAGGTTGCCTCCCTGGAAGGGGAGAGAAAGTGGACAGGGTGGTTGGGGTCATGTGACCATGTCCTGGAGACAGGCCAGGAAATAAGGAAGTCCAGGAAGCTCTTATATCACAAGGAAGGGAGAGGGAGCATGCTTGTGGGCATAGGAACAGCCTCACCTCAAGGCACACACTACCTCTTACAATCTCTGCTTGGTTGCAAAGGAATTTACCCTACCCTAAAATATAACCATTCCATCCTATTGGAATGGTGTCAGCTGGTCCCAAATTTAGGACTATTGTTGAAATTCCCAGTCCCAAACCAGCAGAAATATGTTGCATTGATCAGAAATGATCTGGGGCACCCGAGCCCACCTGTGGGGTTGAGTGAACATGGGGGAGACTCCAGAACAGTACTGTTTCTGTTGTCACTGTTGACTTGCCCTTGGCATCTGGTCCCTGGACTGCAGTCAGTGACAGGAATTGAGGCCCTCCAAGGCTGTGGATGGCAATTTCAGGAGGGATACAGACTCTGATGCAGGGATTCCTCTAGTCTCTGATTTGGTCCAGGTCAAAAGCATTTGCAAAACTGGTGGATATCACCCTGAAAGGCTGCTGCCCCTCCACCCACTGGCCAATTCTAGAGAGAAGTTCTTTACTCTTTTGGTAACTGGCCAGCAGGAGCTGAGATGAGGACAGAATGATAAAATTTAGCAGTAAAATTTAGACTTCATGCAACCAGGAAAGTCTACTCTAGGTGTGTCATGGCAGCCACAGAAAAAATAAAGGCATTTAAATTTTTTGTTGTAAAAATTTCAAATGTATTTAAGAATAGGCAAAATAGTTAAACAATCCCTATGCTCCCATCACCCAGCCTTAACAATGGCCAAATTGTGGTCATTTGAAATAACATTATATCACCCTCCTCTACTGTTAGTTGAAAATAACTGCTCTCTCTCTCAGTGTCTCTCATATTCTGTGGACACATTTGACCATATCTGTGGCAGGCAGAAGGATGCCCCTCACCCCCAACATTGTCCACATCCTAATCCCTGGAACCTGTGAATATATTAGATATCATAGCAAAGGAAATTAAGATTGAAGATGGATTTAAAGTTTTTAGTTCAGCTAACCTTCAAATAGACAGATTACCCTGGATGATTTGGATGGGCCCAATGTCATCATAGGGTCATCGAATGTGGAAAAGGGAAGAGGAAGAAGAGATGAGAGTGATGCAATATGAGAAGATCCTGCTGCTTCTGTCACTGAACATGGAGGAAGGGACTGTGAGCCCAAGATTGCAGGTGGCTTTTATTGATAGAAGCTGGAGAATACATCAAATAGATTCTCTCCTGTAGTCTCCAGAAAGGAACTGGCCCTGTCAACACCTTGGTTTTAACCCCATGAGACCTGTGTCAAACTTCTGATCTTCAAAATTGTAAGATACTAAATTTGGGTTGTTGTAAGTCATTATATTTGTTGTTATTTGTTATAGCAGCAATAGGAAATTATTACACCATTATTTCTTAAGGATGGGAATGATACTTGTTTCCTTAGACACAGGGTCTCATCTAGGACAGCCCCTCAAATGGGGCCACTTCTGAACCTCAGAACCTCCTGCAGTCTGGGATTAAGGCAAAGGAGCTATGTTATGTGGATGCATAAGAAAGGGGTGCTGGGAGAGAATGATCCTAAAGAGAAAGAGAAGGGAACCAAGTGCCTCTATTGTGAGATGGCAATGAAGAGGCTGAGACCCCAAGAGGAAGGTCCTGGTGTGCTTGGTGCATGCAGCCAGGGAAGAGTAGAGCTGGCAACCAGTGATGAGCTGTGAGTCAGGACAACTGGGTCAGAAAGGGGCAGGGATCTGGAGAAAAGGAACCAGGTGGGAACACCCAGCTTCCCTGGGACATTCAAGTGGTACCTGTTGACACAGACCACATTAGGAATGAGGATGGGGTGTGGATATTTATTTTCTCCACAACCAGAGGCCCAGCCTGTTTCTGCTGCCCCTGCCCCACTACTAAGATAAAGGGCTGGCTGTTTTGGGGCCTAAGCAGATGCTACAGTGGAGCACGATGCAGGCTTGTGGTGGGTACCGGGCTCTGCTGGGCCTGCTCCTGATCTACTTTCACCTTTCAGGTATGTAGGCTGGGCCCAGCACTCAAGGAGGAGGGCATTGGGTGCCTGGGTGCCTAGAATTAAGGGCATGGTCAGGGCAACACGGTGGACACTTGGGTGACTTGGGTCCCTGTGGGAGAGTAAGGGTTGGCTTTGGTGAATTGAACACATTCAAAGTCAAGGGAACCAAGGAGTCAGTGGAGGAGGGCTTTGGGTCACCATCTGTCTCCTCTTCCTTTTCCCCAAGGTCCTTCTGCCCAGAGCATCGATGTAGTGGGGGAGAAATTTCCCTAAGACTTGGGGACCAACTTGCCTCTGCTTGGACAACATTCCTTGACCAGGCCCTCCAACCCCAAACATCATCAGACCAAACCAGATCCTGGGGCTAATGATCTAGCAAGGGTTCTTCTGAAGCCCAATACTACTCCATCAGATGACTCCCAACCAGGAGGTCCTGGGGTTCAGAGGTGGCCCCCATCTGGGTGGCTGCCCGGCATGGGTTCCTGACCCTTCGAGGATCCTTATCAGATCATGGCTGCTGCCGAGGACCAGCTGGGGAAAGTGCTGCCCAAAGAACCCTCTTTCCCTTCCAGTGCAGCTGCCCTCCCTCTGGGGGACAGTCCTTTGCCTGTGGGGTCCTTGGCATGCTCTGCAGGACCCTCACCTGTGGCTTCAGTCCTCCACCAGGACTCTGATTCTAGATGGCCACCCCGTTCTAAGTGCTGGGAGCCCAGGGAGAAATCCTTACCCAACACCCACCCTGGTCTCTCATCAACAGGATTCAACAGCCACTTCTGTCAGGTCACCCCTGGGGGATGCTGACTCCCACCATTTCCTGGGGAGGTGCAGGTCCTAGAACTGGATGGGGAACCAAGCCCATGCCACTCCCTGTGGGAATCTGGGGTCTCAGTAATCAATACCCAAGTACCAACTGGGGAAATACTGATTGGTATCCAGGTACTAGCTGGGGGGATATTAATCAGTATCTAGGTACCAGCTGGGGGAATAGTAATCGGTATCCTGGCACCAGCTGGGGGAATATTCATCTACACCCAGACATTAATAATCAGTTTTCTCCTGGAGTTCACCATCCTTCTGGCTCTTTTGGGAAAATCAAGGCTGGCTTCCCCAATTCTCAAAACCTTGGGTTGCTGTCGGGTGAGGAGAATGGCAGCGGCAAGCCCCAAGGTGGAAGTCAGAGAAGGGGCCCTGCTCCCTCACCTTTGTAGTGTGGTCTGAGTCAACATTCAGTCAGTGAGTGTCCACAGCTCCTCCACTTTTCTCTGCCCCTGCACCCCCATGTGGGTCACCAACAAAACACAAGTAGCTGTTGAATCTGCTCCTTAGCAGTGTCTTTGCTTCTGGGTGCAAACTGAAGTGAGTTTTGTCCATCCCCATTTTCCAGCCATCACCAAGTCTCTCTAGGGACTTCCAGATGCTCTGTTGCTATTCCCATCCTTTGCAAAGGATCAAAGCCCAGGTATTTGGGGGTCGACCCTCATGGTCTCACCTGGCCAGGTGAGAGCTGGTTCCAGAATTGTCCTGGAATCTGACAAGGGGAGGAGGGGCAGCAGGAGTGATTGACATGGCACTTGTGGCAGGAGGGAAGGTGAGGTCCAGGAAGTTGGTACCAGGGCCAAGTGAGGTTGAGCACCCTTTGAAACAGAGTCAGAGTATGTCATTTTGTCTATGCTTGTTTTTTTCTTCCCCAGGAAGTCAAGCTTTTTGGGAGCCAAGGGTGCCTTGATCTCCTCCCTTACGTGCATCCCTTGGCACATTGTGCCCAGAGAACCACAGACTTCGAACACTTGCTGAATTAGCAGCAGACCTCAGTGCAGGAAGAAGGAAAGGGAGAGGAAAGCCTTTGAGCTGACAGTCCTACCTGCGGTACACGTGATGCTTTTATTCCCAAGTGATGGTACTCTCTTCTTTTTGTCACACTGCTGTCTCTGTCCTCCCTTTGGTTTTCCCAGGAGCTCATCATTATTGCACAGGTGTTGGAGTAAAGTGGGGAGGGCCACTCTGAGAAAGCTCAGAGGGAGGTTAGCAGGAGCCATTGGGGGCGACCGGTTTCCAGAATGCCATGTGTCTGGTGCCTGTCTTTCTGGTGCCGTGCATGTGCTTCACTGAAGTGGTCCAGGTGTATGCACACCTGGCAATTGCTACAGGTTCTGAGAATAGGGCAGGTCATGGGGAAGGAAGTAGAAAGAAGATAAACATTACAATTGGAGGGCGGGGAGCTGCCCGTCTGAGTATGAGGTGGGTGTTCTCAAGGAAAAATCTCCTGTCCCAGTGTCTGCCATTGGGACACCTTCCCATCAGCCACCATTCCTGCTCCACTATCACCTCAAGCTCCTCCCCCAATCCTTTCCCACCTTGGTTCATTTCTCTCTGTCTTGGTTCTGTGGTTTGTTTTCAGCACCTGTCTCTTCCATAAGCCCAAGTTCATTGTCTGGGGTTTGTGGTTCCATTTTTTTCTGTCTGTCTTTCTGGTTGTTTCTCCCTACTCCGTGCCCCCCCCTCCCCGCACCCCCCCTCCCCCAGTACCACAAGGATAGTTGACTGGCTTTGTTCACTGCTGCACCCGCAGCACCACAGATGATATCTGGACCAACATCTGATCTCTCTCTCTTTCTATCTCCCTCTCTCTCCCCTACTCTTCCTCCATCCCTCATTCCCTCCCTCTTTTTCTGTGCCTCCTTTGCACTCTCTCTTCTTCCCCCTCCTCTTCTCTCTCTTATTTCTGAGCCACAGGGCTGCACGCAGACTCTGCACTTCTGTGTGGCCCTCCCACACCTTCACTGACATTTCTTTACACATAGGCTGAAGCCCTTCTCAGCTCATCAAATGCTGTGTGCAGTCCAACATTGAACCCCCATTACTATTTGTGAGGAAGGTGTTATAAGGTGAAGAAATGGAGCCCCAAATGAATGAAGCAACTTACACAAAGTTACATGCCAACAAGTGAAGTCAGTGACTCAAACCTAATTTTTCTCATTATCTGTCCAGAGAATGTTACAGTACAACATGCAATAAAAAAAAACCCATGTAATGTCTACTGCATACTAACAATGAGCCAGACCCCAGACAAGGTGCTGCCACACACATCCTCCCAGCTAACCTCCACAACAATCCCATTAGGTAGACACTGCTGGGCCCATTGCACATGTGGAGACACTGAGGCCCACAGAGGAAAGCCAAGGCTTACAGAGAGGTGACCCTGAGCTGAGGGAGTCTGGCACTCAGTGCTCATGGAGGGCCCTGGAGTAGCTGTGGTCAGCCCATCATAGTGGTGTTTGCTTTAAGATTGATTGTTACAAAAAAAAAAAAAAGATTTCTGATGGGACAGTAATCTGTGATGTAACAGAGGTCCTGAGATTTGTGGTGGGAGTACTGCTGGTGCTCTGAGTTTTCTGTACTGTTAGTGGTCAACTGGTGGACTACTTCACAGGGGTCATGGCCCCTCGCCTCGAGGGACAAGAGACAGTGCTGAGCAGAGGGAGAACTTGTCTGGAGCCAGAGGACACAGATTCCCCTTCTGTGGGCTTATGCAGCCTTCTCTGCCCAGTCTATTTAGCTGAGTTGTTTTCTCCTATGGACTTTAGCTTCCTAATCTGTCAATGGAATGAAGGCAGAGGTCCAATCTCTCTCATAGGGTGCTTAGGAAGTTTGATTAAGGTAATGATAAAGTGCATCAGAGACTGGAAAACTCTGAGCAATTGTAGTGATTAATTATAATGCAGTGCGTTGTCCCAGTAAGGCTGTGCTGGTTGGGACCACACAGGAGGAGGGTTATCAGTCCCAGTGGTGGGAGTTGATGGTTCTGGTCGAGGTCAGCGTGATGCTCCCCACTGGGAATCACACTTCAGAGAATTATTGCAGATCAAGAAGGGACAGTTGGCTTCTCATTGAAGTATTTCCTTCCTCAAAAAAACTGTGTTCACTCAGATGCTTTTTACTTACACACACATACACTTGGGTGCAAACAATAGCTTCCTTTATCATATATTTACTGTAAAAGAAATGTGTTATAGGGTTATTTAAATTCTCATAACAATTCTAGGATGTACTTACTCTTAGTATTTCCATTTTATAGGCAAAGAAACTGAGGCTGAGTAAGCTTAGGTAACTTGCTCAAAGCCACAAGCCAGTGAGAGGTGGAACTTGGCTCTGGCACCATTTAAAAACTGCAGGCCTTGGGTGCAATCTGAGCAGGGCAGAGGAAGGAGAGATTCTCCAGCTCCGACCTCTTAATGGCTGCATGGAGTTCCTCCCCCAACACATCCATTTGCACCCACCTTATCCTGTCTCCTGAAGACCACAGTCAGGGTTTGGTTTTGTCTTTCTCTCCAGACCAAACACCTACCTCTTGTGTTCCTCTTATTATTCAGTTGGAAAGATGTCCTCTGTTGTCTTCTTCCTTTCTGTTTCTAGGTCAGCATTCTTTTGTCACTGTCAGGAAGCTGGTAAGACACCTGGGATACAGTCACCTTTTATAACCCACCTTGTCAAATATGAACATGAGCACATGAGACCTCAGGAACAGCAGTCACATACCAGGGTTTCCAGTTCTGTCCGCTTATGTGATGTCCTGGTCCTGGATAGTCCAGAGTGGAGGCAATGGGAGGAGACTCGATCATGGCCTGGCTAGAGACAGCTGTTTTCAGTGTCAGTAGCAGTGGTGTTCTGGGGGCCGCTGTGGGATCCAGAGGTCACTGGGTGGATGTGGTTTACCCATGCTGGTGGCAACGCTGGTGTGGTAGCTGTTGTTTGTCCTAAACTAGTGGCCAGGCTGATGTGAAATGACTTTTTGTGTCAGGTGGTCTTCAGCTAGGCAAGCCCACAGTGGAAAGGTGGTAGAAACAAGTTATGAAATAGTTTTGAGACCATTCAGTCCTTCTTGGCCTCAGGCAGTCATGGCAGTCATGACTGACAGAGTGGAAGCTGTTTTCTTTAGCACCTTCCTTTCTGTCCCTTGGTCTCCTTTCTCTACATCTATTTTCTGTGTTCCAACTGCTCCCTGGCTACCCAGGATCACCCATCTATGTTCCCTCTAGCTGCATTTCACCTCCCTCTCACGTGCTGGACTTTTCCTCTGGCCTCACTCCACCAAAACCTGCCTCTCCTGCACCTCATTGCTTGGGGCTCTCTGTTCACTGTGCCATTGTAATGGGATGGTTTTAGAAGAACTAACTATTAGGAATGAACAGGGGCAAGGATGATGAGCCTAGAAAGTTAACACCAATCCACTCTGTTAGTGGACCTGCAACTATCTGCTTCAGCCTGCAAAGTTCGGTTCTCTTTTCCTGGGACACATTACCATGTCTTTAAGAACTTTAAGACATGCCTGTTTAGTGTGTAACTTGACACTGAGATGAATTTATAAAACAATTAACATTTAAGCATTAGACTTCGAACCAAGATGGAGGCATAGCTAGATAAACTTTGCCTCCTTGCACAACCAAAAGAAGGACAACAACTAATTTAAAAACAAAAAATAACCAGAATTGCCACAAAATTGAACCGTATGGAAGTCTGACAACCAAGAAGTTAAAGAAGAAATGTTTATCCAGATTGGGAGAAAGAGCAGAGATGGGCATTGGGGTGGAGAGGATGCATGGCAAGGGGGCAGCTGGTGGACCAGGTGGTCCCACATTTGTGTGTGGGTAAACCAGGAGGAACAACTAGAGAGCAACTGCACAACCCAGGGTTCCAGCATGGCAAAATAAAGCCTCAAAACCTTTGGCTATAAAAACCTGTGGGGGTTGCAGCAGCAGGAGAAACTCCCAGACTCACAGGAGTGTTCATTGGAGAGGTCCACAAGGTCCTAGAATGTATACAAACCCACCCACCCAGGAATCAGCCCCAGAAGGGCCCAATTTGCTTGTGGGTAGTGGGGGAAGTTACTGAAAGCTGGGTGAGAGCCAAGCAAGTGGCATTGTTCACTCTTGGACCACTCTCCCACATACAGCACCACATTGCAGTGATGTGAATTGCCCTGCCCTGGTGAATGCCTCAGGATCCACCCCTTTACAACATAATAGGTGCACAGAGACAAAGAAATATGGCTCAAATAAAAGAACAGATCAAAACTCTTGAAATAGAACTAAGCAATCAGGAGATAGCCAACCTATCAGATGCAGAGTTCAAAACACTGGTAAGCAGGATGCTCACAGAAGTGGTTGAGTATGGTCACAAATTAGAGGAAAAAGTGAAGGCTATGAAAAGTGAAATAAAGGAAAATGTATAGAGAATCAACAGTGAAGGGAAGGAAACCAGGACTCAAATCAATGGTTTGGAGCAGAAGGAAGAAAGCTGTTCTGGTTGAAACATTCAGCCAGAGCAGAACAAAGACACAAGAATTCAGAAAAATGAAGAGAGGCTTAGGAACCTCTGGGACAACTTTAAATGTTCCAACATCTGAGTCATAGGGGGTGTCAGAAGGAGAAGAGAAAGAGCAAGAAATGGAAAACTTATTTGAAAACATAATGAAGGAGAACTTGCCTAATCTGGCAAAGGAAATAGACTTTCAGGAAGCTCAGAGAGTCCCAAAGAGGTTGGACCCAAGGAAGCACACACCAAGGCACATCATAATTACATTACCCAAGATTGAAGATAAAGAGAGAATTTTAAAAGCAGCAAGAGAAAAGGAGACAGTTACCCACAAAGGAGTTCCCATAAGACTGTCAGCTGATTTCTCAAAAGAAATCTTACAGGCAAGAAGGGGCTGGAAAGAAGAATTTGGAGTCATGAAAGGCAAAGACCTACATCCAAGATTACTCTATCCAGCAAAGTTATCATGTAGAATGTAAGGACAAATAAAGTGTTTCTCAGATAAGGTCAAGTTAAAGGAATTAATCATCACCAAGCCCTTATTATATGAAATGTTAAAGGGACTTATCTAAGAAAAAGAGGATGATCAAAACTACGAACAGCAAAATGACAACAAACTCACAGCTATCAAAACTAAACCTAAAAAACAAAAACAAAAACAAACTAAGCAAACAACTAGAACAGGAACAGAGTCACAGAAATGGAGATCACATGGAGGGTTATCAGCAGGGAGTGGGTGGGAGGAGGATGGGGGAAAAGGTACAGAGAATAAGTAGCATAGATGGTAGGTACGAAATAGACAGGGGGAGGTTAAGAATAATATAGGAAATGGAGAAGTCAAAGAACTTATATGTATGACCCATGGACATGAACTAAGTGGGAAGAATGTTGGTGGGAGAGGGTCTGCAGGGTAGAGGGGAATAAAAGGGAGAAAATGGGACAAATAGCATAATCAATAAAATATATTTTAAAAATTTAAGCATTAAACAACATACCCAGCTACTGCATGAGAATTTATGGATTTAATAAACTAAATTTGTTCAAAGATTAAATATTGTTTCACACTGAAACAAATTTAAACATTTAACTAAAATCTCAAATCTGATATGTAAGATTCTCTTAAATGACTTAAACCTCTAAGAAGCAAACAAATGAAAGAGGTATTATAATTATTAAAAAACTGATCACTTTACCACCATTAAAAATCAGTTACAAAAGGCTAATA